AAATTAAACTAAATCAGAACGATATACGGGCGAATTAAATACTAACAAACTCACTGTCTGGATTTACGATTTGTTGTTAGATTAATAATTAAAACTTGATTCATATGAAATATATTCAAGCCTCAATAAATTTTAACACCTACATTAGCAATAGACAAAGAAAATTTAATACAAAGTTACCTCTAATAAGTAGGTAACATCGGGGAAACTGGTGTTCCTTAAAAGCTACAGTCGTATGAATCTTAAAACGAGATTCGGAAAAAAAAATAGAACGCAACAGACATGGTATTAGTGATACAAGGCTAGTTTCTCTTTATTAATATCCCTTTGTTTGTGCTTGTACTCTCTGATTAGTTATTTGTAGGAAGAGACGGAGTTTGTCTCGTTGTAAATAACAAGATAATTTTCCTGAAGTGGAACACCGCAGATTTTTCCGACTGTACCTACGTTTTTACTGTTGACGGATAGAAATCACATTTAATTCCTTTTACTCTTTAACAAGAATTAAACTGTTCTTACTATTGTCTTTAACTGTACCTGTAAATCAGTATATGATTGCATTTATTTATTCGTTATTCAACGAGTTTTATTTGCAATACATAATGTAGGACAATGGAGATATTAAGGCGAACCATCATAAAGCGTGCACTGCAACAGAGCCACGCCGCCATTGACGTCATCAACATGCCGACATAAATCGCCACGCTGACGTCATTTGTCTACCACCCTCCCGCACTCTTCCCCCCGCGCACTTTCCCCCCGCGTCAGTCATCGCCCGTCAGCGCGGACTATGAATAAATCCATTAAAGTCATCACCAGTTAGTGCAGTAAATTTTAATATTTATGTATGTATGTAACAAAGAACAATCTTAAATAATAAAGATTGCTACAAATCCAATGTCTGCTATTTTTATTTATGATTTAGCTTTCGCCCGCGACGCTGTCCGCTTGGAAGTAAAAAACCAAGAGTGATTAGCCTATGTGTTCTTCCAGGTTATCCTCTACATCTATAGCAAATTTCATCGAAATCCGTTCTGCCGCTTAAGCTACAAACTCTTAGAAATATTCATCCATCCTAAACTTTCGCATTTATAATATTAGTATGATAAATTGTCTAACAATATGATTTAGACATGAGTAGACTAGAAAATAATTATTGTAAGTACGTGTGCTAATATTCTTGTAACACAATACGAAAATAAGTTGAGATCAATAGTGTTAAATTTTAATAAAGATAAACGCCACCCTCGAACGGTCGTGTTACAGACAGATGGACAGGCGTCATGTCATAATTACGAGTCGCGGGGCGTGCCTAGTGCCGGCGGGTCCCGGGGGCTCGGGCTCACTGTCCATCATAATATTCATAGAGTGCATGGTAATTTCAGGCCATGAAAACAACGATTTTTACAATATTTTCTGTTATATTCTAGTATAACTATAAAATTTAAACTAAGGTATTAATATTTGAAACAAGCACTATTAATGTATCCCAAATGTATAATAATAAACAGCAGAATAATGTCACAGATAAGAAGAGAATCAAATAACTGAGCAATAAAGGCGCATTGTGGGCACGTTGTCGCTCGTAAAATTTTATTAAATCAACTATTTTATTGAGCATATGCCTATAGAAAGATTATTATATTGTGTACAATAAAATAATATAGAAGCGAATTACAGCTAACAATACAAAAACCTTTAAAAATAAACTACTTTAGCTTATACTGTTTTCAATTATTCATTACAAAAACTTCTATACTGTACCCTTTTCACATACAAAATACGATCAAAAATCGGTTTACAGAATGTCGATTGTGCAGCGTTTGATTTTAAAAAGCCACCCGAAGAACCCCACTGCCGTTTAAAGCCATTCGGCAAAGTGCATCTCATTCAACCTTCGGTTTGTATTGTGTACAATACCTGGATAAAGAAGTGAATAGGGGCCGTATTTATAGTCAAGTGTTTTAAGAATAATGTGACTTTTTACATAAAAAATAACGAAACCACAATTACAATAAATTAAAATGTTTACTATATTATATTTTTTATATACTTTATGTATATTTAATATACTAACAGTTCCAGTAATACAATAGTTAAAATTTTGTTAAAACAGTTCATATTAGTATTTCTCAAGAAAAATTAATATGATAGAAATTTTCAAGCCGCCACTTTTAATATGGTTTCCAATAATAGAAGTCCGATGAAGTTAGTCATTTGATAGATGTATTTTTATTTTGATTAACTCACTAGCAGTATGAATAAGGGTCATCCGTCGAAGCAGTGAACATTTTGAGCAGTGACGGAGTTCAGAGTGAGGCAATCAGCAGATTAAACCAAATACCTGTTGGTTGACGATACAAAAGCGGGACGTAACATCGTGTTCCCCGCGGCGAGGCTACATAAAATGCACTCTTTTTAACTGTGTACTAGTTCATACCAGTCAGAGAATAACTCACGCTAGTGACACAGAGGTAACCAGAGATAGACTTTAATTAAGGGACATAGTACACTCCTTTCGTAGTACTGTTATAGTAATCAGCAAATATAAATTGTTAGGCCATAGTAAATTGACTTTTGATTTACAAATATTATGGAGTATTTTTCATTTCAAATTTAGTTTAGTTTTAAATGGAAATTCTTTCAAAATGTGTAACGGACAGGCGTGACCGCCACCATTCAGACTCGATCTTCCAACGGCGAGACAGGACCAGATTGCCTGCAGGAACAACGAGTTACATAAACACATGGAGAAGGCAATCATGCACAAAATTACGATTGGGGTCACTTGATGATTGAAATTTATCTAGAAAAAATGTTAGGACACTACTACTAATCAGCTTTTTGTCTAGATTTTTAAGTCAACTAACTAAAATGAATATAAATAGAAAAAATATATATAGATACTACTGTTAATAAGGCAGATTCTATCTAGTAAGTTTCAGTTTTCTATAGATGTGATTTTAACAGAAGCTTAAAAATAACCTTAAAAATATTGTGCACTCTTCTTATATGAATGTCGACTGTGGCCATGAGCTTGTGCAAGTAATCGAGAGCCGCGCGCCCGTGACGGT